GTCTCAGGGTTAGAAGGCCCCTCAGTGTGAGGTAGGCCTCGTTATGAGGGGGAGAATAAGTCTCAGGGTTAGACAGCCTCTCAGAGTGAGGTAGGCCTCGTTATGAGGGGGAGAATAGGTCTCAGGGTTAGAAGGCCCCACAGTGTGAGGTAGGCCTCGTTATGAGGGGGAGAATAGGTCTCAGGGTTAGAAGGCCTCTCAGTGTGAGGTAGGCCTTAGTCTGTGAGAGAAGGCCTCACAGTATGAGATAGGCCTTAGTCTAAGAGAAGGCCTCACAGTGTGAGGTAGACCTCATTACGAGGGGGAGAATAGGTCTCAGTGTTAGAAGGCCTCACAGTGTGAGGTAGGCCTTAGTCTGTGAGAGAAGGCCTCACAGTATGAGACAGGCCTTAGTCTGTAAGAGAAGGCCTCAGTGTGAGGTAGACCTCATTACGAGGGGGAGAATAGGTCTCAGGGTTAGAAGGCCCCTCAGTGTGAGGTAGGCCTCGTTATGAGGGGGAGAATAGGTCTCAGGGTTAGAAGGCCCCTCAGTGTGAGGTAGGCCTCGTTATGAGGGGGAGAATAGGTCTCAGGGTTAGACAGCCTCTCAGAGTGAGGTAGGCCTCGTTATGAGGGGGAGAATAGGTCTCAGGGTTAGAAGGCCCCACAGTGTGAGGTAGGCCTCGTTATGAGGGGGAGAATAGGTCTCAGGGTTAGATGCCCTGCGGTGATCATGGGGGTGAGAGGGCAGTGCCGAAGGGGCCTCCCCCCCCCCCCCCCCCCCCCCCCCCCCCCCCCCCCCCCCCCCACAGTATGAGATAGGCCTTAGTCTAAGAGAAGGCCTCACAGTGTGAGGTAGACCTCATTACGAGGGGGAGAATAGGTCTCAGTGTTAGAAGGCCTCACAGTGTGAGGTAGGCCTTAGTCTGTGAGAGAAGGCCTCACAGTGTGAGGTAGGCCTCGTTATGAGGGGGAGAATAGGTCTCAGGGTTAGACGGTCTCTCAGTGTGAGGTAGGCCTTAGTCTTTAAGAGAAGGCCTCACAGTGTGAGGTAGACCTCATTACGAGGGGGAGAATAGGTCTCAGTGTTAGAAGGCCTCACAGTGTGAGGTAGGCCTTAGTCTGTGAGAGAAGGCCTCACAGTATGAGACAGGCCTTAGTCTGTAAGAGAAGGCCTCAGTGTGAGGTAGACCTCATTACGAGGGGGAGAATAGGTCTCAGGGTTAGAAGGCCCCTCAGTGTGAGGTAGGCCTCGTTATGAGGGGGAGAATAGGTCTCAGGGTTAGACAGCCTCTCAGAGTGAGGTAGGCCTCGTTATGAGGGGGAGAATAGGTCTCAGGGTTAGAAGGCCCCACAGTGTGAGGTAGGCCTCGTTATGAGGGGGAGAATAGGTCTCAGGGTTAGAAGGCCTCTCAGTGTGAGGTAGGCCTTAGTCTGTGAGAGAAGGCCTCACAGTATGAGATAGGCCTTAGTCTAAGAGAAGGCCTCACAGTGTGAGGTAGACCTCATTACGAGGGGGAGAATAGGTCTCAGTGTTAGAAGGCCTCACAGTGTGAGGTAGGCCTTAGTCTGTGAGAGAAGGCCTCACAGTGTGAGGTAGGCCTCGTTATGAGGGGGAGAATAGGTCTCAGGGTTAGACGGTCTCTCAGTGTGAGGTAGGCCTTAGTCTTTAAGAGAAGGCCTCACAGTGTGAGGTAGACCTCATTACGAGGGGGAGAATAGGTCTCAGTGTTAGAAGGCCTCACAGTGTGAGGTAGGCCTTAGTCTGTGAGAGAAGGCCTCACAGTATGAGACAGGCCTTAGTCTGTAAGAGAAGGCCTCAGTGTGAGGTAGACCTCATTACGAGGGGGAGAATAGGTCTCAGGGTTAGAAGGCCCCTCAGTGTGAGGAAGGCCTTAGTATGTGAGGGAGGGCCTCACAGTGTGAGGTAGGCCATTATGAGGGGAATCGATCTCAGGGTTAGAAGGCCTCACAGCGTGAGGTAGGCCTCATTATGAGAAAGCCTTGTGTGTGAAGCTCCATTGTGAAGGTTGAACTTTATTCATGTCATGGAAACCTTGTTCTTGTAAGCAGTGCAACCATATTATTTCGCCGGTTACCGGCTGTTAGGAATTGTGGGAGTTGAAGTCCAAAACACCTGGAGGGCTGAAGTTTGTCCATGCCTGATTTAACCGTTGTGCCACCACAGCCCCTATTAATTGTGTTTCAAAGTAAAAGGATCATGTTTTGAATTAGAAAGAAATATGCAGGCTAAAGATTAAACATTTCAGCAATTGGGCAACTGATCCAAAAGGCATTGCACATTTTTGTTTGTTCCATGTCATCTCCCTCTTTGAAATAAGCTTTCCTATGATGAAAGGATGGGAATGTTTGTTTGTTTTTTCAAAACTTGTGTGGCTTTCTGAGACCAATAGCACCACCATGTGGAGAAACCTTTTAATTCGAGGAGGAGCCGCCAAAGGGAGGACATATAAATTGCATCCTAGAGCACATCTCCACTGTAAAATTAATATTGAAATCCACAAGCATGTGGACAATTTCAACAGAAAGGAGGAGACCATGAAAATGAACAAAATCTGGCTACCAGTATTAAAAAAAAACTCTAAAATTACAACAGCAAAACAGCAGAGAGGAAACAACCAGGCACATATTAACACCTCCCAGCAAGAGATTTTCCCAGGCTCAGGCAGGCCTTCAAATGCTAATGAAGGTGGTCAGTTGAAACATTCACACCTAGCTCCAGCAGAGAAAAGCTCTTTGCCCCACCCCAGCCATTCCACAGATATATAAACCCATTGTCCTAATTCCAACAGACCTCACTACCTCTGAGGATGCTTGCCATAGATGCAGGCGAAACGTCAGGAGAAATGCCTCTAGAACATGGCCCTATAGCCCGAAAAAACCCACAAGAACCTAGTGATTCCAGCCATGAAAGCCTTCGACAATAAAATTAATATAGTTTGTTAATTTCCCAGGATCAATGCTATGGAATTCTGGGAGCTATAGTTTAGCATGACTCACCATACTACAGCTCAGAGGTGGTGAGGTCTGTTTGTAGTTTCAGTGTGGTGAGGATAACTTTCATATTTTTGTTATCCTTAAGTGAATGAACTACTTTCCGTTTCTACTTTAAAGCACAGCTGACTCAAACATCTATTTCTTTTGTCAGGATTTGAGTTCAGGGACAGAAGAAAGGGCTGTTGTATAATTAACACTCTGCAAATCAAACTATATGGGCGTGCTACTAACCATGATTTGACAGTTCTGCACTTTAGCCATTCTGATTTTCTCCCTCCATGTGGTGTCTGAACCCCCTTTGATAATTCCCCCCCCCCAAAAAAAATTCTTGTATACATCACTTAACATCAGTGTTTCTCAACCTGGGGGTCGGGACCCTGGGGAGGGGGTCACAAGGGAGTGTCAGAGAGGTCGCCAAAGACCATCAGAAAACACAGTATTTTCTATTAGTAATAGGGCTTCTGTGCGGGAAGTCTGGCCCAATTCTATCATTGGTGGGGATCAGAATGCTCTTTGGTTGAAGGTGAACTATAAATCCCAGCAACTACAACTCTCAAATGACAAGGTCTATTTTCCCTAAACTCCACCAGTGTTCACATTTGGGCACATCAAGTATCTGTGCCAAGTTTTGTCCAGATCCATCATTGTTTGAGTCCACAGTACTCTCTGAATGTAGGTGAAGTACAACTTCGAAACTCAAGGTCAATGCCCACCAAACGCTTCTAGTGTTTTTTGTTGGTTATGGGAATCCTATGTGCCAAGTTTGGGTCAATTTCATTGTTGGTGTAAGGCAGAAGATACAGGTTTGAGTTTTAAAGGATGCTAGAGTTTTCATGGAGAAAAGAGAACGGATATGGACTTGACCATATATGGGAAACAAAGACAGGTTTTGGTGCCAAAGATAAGTTTTTTGTGCAAGGGTGAAGTATCGGTCAGGAGACAGTGCTGACTTTGCAGAGTCTCCAGCTGTATCAGCATCTTGTGATGTTTCCAAAAAGAGCTTGCTTATTGAGAAGCGAAACTTAAAAGTGTATGATCTAATTGCTTAACGTAAATATAATATTGACAGCTTTCTTAACCAATGATTTAATCTTTGGGGCGGCTCTTAAAGCCGAACCCCTTTGCATGTATAAAAGGAACACTAACCTTTGTGCTGGGTGACTTCCCCCAGAGACGCCTTGTTGTGTCGGAAGTCATCTAGCAGCTGCTAAATAAATTACTTTGATTTCTTCTGAACCCTGTTGGCTGTTTTTCCTGACTCATCTGCGCTCGCAATCGGACTTGGTTTGAACAATTTGGCTAAGCTCCTGAGCAATCGCTCAGGAGAGGAAAAAGTCTGCTTCAGGTGTGCTTCAGAATGCTTTTTTCTGATAATGAAAGAAGATCTTCAGGGACATCATTATGCTTCTGATGAAGATGTTTTGAGAACTGTGAGACGCTGGTTGCGGAAACAGTGTCAACTTCCGTGACGGCTTCAGAAAACCTCTTCATCAAGGCAGAAATGTATCCAATTGTCTGGTGATTATGTGGAAAAGTGAATAGCGGTAGTTAAAGAGCACATTCTATGGATTATTTCTGCATTTGATTTATTAAAATATTCCCATCCAAACCCAAGTAATAAAGGTGGAGGCATTACTTTTCAATCAACCCTCGTATAACCAACTTCAGCAGAATATGGTCACTCACATGTTCAGTCCACTAACCAGGTCAGCACCTGCTCCCCTTGTTGCCTCTTCAACCTTCTGGACAATGAAATTGTCGACATGGCTAGTTAGTTTTTGGAGCTTTGTTCTCAGCAGAGTTTGACTTTCTACAGAAATCTCCCCTTACTGCTACACCCCTGATTCCTCAGTGTTGGGTTATCTGTTCCACAGAAGCCTCCGAAGTTCGGTGCCACCGGGAAATACCTAATGGCACACACATAAGGCAGAACAAGCAAGGAAGATGGCAGAGGGAGGCCTTGGAGACATTACACCAGAACATAGCCGGCACGGAGGACTCACCACACGGCCAAAAGGCAACTTCGGAATGAGCAGGTTGGTGCTCTTCTGAAATTTCCGGATCTGTATCATGGCAAGCTGGCCAGGTCGGTATCTTCGCCGACGCCGTGGGGCTGTGCAGAAAGGGGAAGACATGAACAGTCACTGGAGGGAAAAGAGAGAATCATAGGATCCCAGAGTTGGAAGAGAGCGCAAGGGCCATCCAGTCCAAACCCCTTCTGCCATGCTGGAAAAGCACAATCAAAGCACGCCTGACACATGGCCTTCCAGCCTGTTTAAAAACCTCCTGAGTAGGAGACTCCACCACACTCTCAGGCAGTAGCATATCCCACTGCCAAACAGCTCTGACCACCAAAAAGTTCTTAATGTTCAGGTGGAATCTGCCCCCTCCCCCCCCGCAATTTGAATCCATTACTCCATGCCCTAGTCTTTAGAGCAGCAGAAAGCAAGCTTGGCCCCTCCTCAACGTGACATCCTTTCAAATACTGAAACATGGCTATCCTTCCCTATCTCAGTCTTCCTTTCTTCAAGGTAAACACACCCAGCCCCTAAGCCATTCCTCATAGGGCTTGCCGTTAATGCCCTTGATCATTTTAGTCATCTTTCTCTGTTCACGTTCCAGCTTGTCCATCTCCTTGAATGGTGGTGGCCAGAATTGGACACAGTATTATTCAAGGTGAGGTCTAGCCAAAGCAGAGTGGCACTATGACTTCCCTCAATCTTGACACTAGACTCCAAGAGATGGTCTAGATTCACATTGGCTTTTTAGCTGCTACATCAGACTGTTGATTCATGTTTGCTTATTTAATTAATAATAATAATAATAATAATAATAATAATAATCTTTATTTATACCCCGCCACCATCTCCCCAATTGGGACTTGGAGCGGCTTACATGAGGCCAAGCCCGAACAACAAATTACAATACAATAAGATACATATTACAATAAAATAAACAACATAACATTAAAGTATAAATCATAAAAGCATATAAACAATATACACAAAACATTAAAAAGCAGTATTTACAGCATTTATATTCCGCCCTTCCCACCCCGAAGGGGACTCAAGGCAGAACACAGAACCCATACACGACAAACATTCAATGCTGTTAGGACATACAAGACAGAGAGATAGAGGTGTGTGTCTCGGCATTTTTCCAACTTTGGTATCCTGGAGGTTATGCTGGCCACAGGGGGGTGCTGTCGCTCCATCCTCTAAGACTGGTTTCCTACCTCTTTTTGACCAGGGACCACTTTGATCAGGGATGACTCTCCAACATTGGTACCAAAAGGGTTACGAATCAGTTTTTGGTCAACTTTAGATTTGGTTTGGTTATTTGGGGTTCTGATTCAGACAACTGCATTGGATAGACCACATCAGCTCTAGTTTCTGATACAGAACATATGCCATCTAGTAGTCGTTATCTGCTCACTTACAGAAAACCATATTCAATAAGCCTTGGAACTATAAGAAGGTTTTGCGAGCCCAGTCACTCTTGTTGCAATGGTGTATTGACGATGAGGCCGCGGACCATATTTTAGTTCTTGCGCACCACTGGTGATCCATGAATCACAGGTTGGGAACTACTGCTTTATGATAAGCCTTTTTGATAACAGACTGTCCTGTTCTTTAATCACCGACTTTTTTATGGTGCCGTAAAATACCTCCCCACTTGAGCAGTGCCTAATTTCTCTACTCACAGCTACAGCTGTTTTCGAACTGCTTAGGTAAAGAATAAGCTGGGCTGAAGGTTGGGTGCTCACCCTGACCCGGGCTCCAACTCCCAGCCTTTTGGTTGGGAAATATTTAATGCTGCTGGTGATTAACCAGCTGTGCTAAAATCCAGCCTGTAGTCTACTAAGACTCTTAGGTCCATTTAACATGGACTGTTTCCAAGCCAGGCTTCACCTGTGAATGTCATGTTTATTGCCAAAGTGTGGGACCATACATTTCTCCCTGTTGAAATTCAGTGTGTCAGTTTTGGCCAATCAGCTCTCTTCTCTGTTAAGGTCATTTTGGATTCTGATCCTGTCCTCTGGGGTATTAGCTATCTCTCCCAATAGGGTGTCACCTGCACATTTGATAAGCACACCTTCTATTCCGTCATCCAAGTCATGGAGAAAGGTGGCACCCCACTGGTTACTTCTTTCCAGGATGAAGAAGAGGGGTGATTGGGAAGCACGCTTCGGGTTTGACTAGACAGCCAATTCCCAATCCACCTAATAGTAGCACTCTTTAGCCCACATGTTATTAGCTTCTTTATGAGAATGTCCTGGGGCGCCTTGCCAAAGACCGTCCTGTAATCGAGATGTGCTGTATTCACAGCATTCCCTTCATCCACCAAGGTTGTAATTCCATCAAAAAGAGAGATAATATTCATCTGGCATGAGACCTAGGAAACTTTCTGTGGAATGACGTCCTGCCTTTGGTCCATCAAGCCTCCAAACTAACATTTACTTTAAAAGCAGCTTGAATGTATCCAACACTGACATAAATACACATCCCTCAGTGGAATACATGCTGCCTGGGAACATGGCAGAGCTTCCTTCCCTGGAATTCTTTTAAAAACAGGCTGGATGGTTACCTGTTGGAGGTGCTTTGGTGGTGTCTTCCTCCATGCAGGAGGGGGTTGGACTGGATGACCCTTGGGATCTGTTCCAAATTTATGATCCCTGATTCCCAAAAGGTTTCACAGCTTCTAACCTTGGCTTTCTCTAGGTCTCTTACTAGAGCTTCTCCTTCTGTCTCAGACCTTGGAGATCTAGAATACATCTTCGCCAAGACAAACTGTTAATTAGTTCCAGATTGTACAAACTTTGCCGATCAAGATTACTTGTCCGCATTCCCTTGCGTAAATAGCTGGAAGCAAAAACCCACCAAGAAGCCTGATTGCAAACGACACTGGCATGATCGTTGTCAATGTTTTTCCCCGTATTTAGGTTTAGTTCACATGGAACTCAAATGAGATCCAAACTTCCAGCCAACCGCGCATCTTTTTTAAATCAATGTCCGGCAAAAATTTCAAACATTCCCAAGGCCAATGTCACATCACTGCTGATTCGTCTCGCCTTGCCTTAAAATGTCATCCCCAAAAACCTTTATCTGCATGAGTTACATATTCCCAAAATATTTATGCAATGAGAAGACTGTCTCGGTTGAATTCCGTCTGTTCTGTAGAGTTGTTCATAAACACCCACAGTAAACTTTTGATAAAAGCTATTCAACTTTTGTGATCTTTTGACCGCTAAGATGGATAGCACATATTGAAAATATAACATTTCCTCATCTGATTGCCACGGGATTTAACAATGTTTGCAATATTCAAAGGAGTGGATTAACAATGCAAAAGGGTGTGTTGTCGAAGGCTTTCATGGCCGGAATCGCTGGGGATTTTTGTTTCTACAAAACTGATTCAGAGGTTTGCTTTCCCTTGAATGGAAGTGTGTCTCCTATCCAAGTATTATCCAGGCTCAACCCTGTTTTGCTTGCAAGGTCACCCAGTGGATAATACACTATTAAAATACAAATGAAATCCATCAGCTCAAGATAGAGGACAACAGCAGACATATTGAGCAGCAAAGAATAAAATCATATTCAGTGGGTTCCTGTGGGTTTTCCGGGCTGTATAGCCATGCATCAGAAGCATTTTCTCCAGACGTTTCACCCACATCTATGGCAGGCATCTTCAAAGGTTGAGAGGTCTGTTGGAAACTAGGCGAGTGGGGTTTATATATCTGTGGAATGTCCAGGGTGGGAGAAAGAACTCTTGTCTGCTTGAGGCAAATGTGAATGTTGCAACTGGCCCCCTTAATTAGCATTGAATGGCCTTGCAGCTTCAAAGCCTGGTTGCTTCCTGCCTGGGGGAATACTCTGTTGGGAAGTGTTAGCTGGCCTTGATTGTTTCCTGTGTGGAATTCCCCTGTTTTTTGAGTATTGCTCTTTATTTACTCTCCTGTTTTTTTAATACTGGTAGCCAGATTTTGTTCATTTTCATGGTTTCCTCCTTTTTGTTGAATTTGCCCACATGCTTATAGATTTCAGTGACTTCTCTGTGTAGCCTGACATGGTAGTTATTAGAGTGGTTTAGCATTTCTGTGTTTTCAGATAATCTGCAGTGTCCAGGTTGGTTCATCAAGTGCTCTGCTATGGCTGACTTCTCTGGTTGAATTAGTCTGCAGTGCCTTTCCTGTTCCTTGATTCGTGTTTGGGCAATGCTGCTGCGTTTGGTGGCCGGGTGTGCCACCAAACGCAGCAGCATTGACATCACTAATGTAGTTTGACATCACTTTCACTACCGCGGCACAATGCTATGGAATCATGGGAGCTGTAGTTTTACAAGATCTTTAGCCTTCTCTCCAAAGAAAGCTGGTGCCTTCCCACATTACAAATCCCACAATTCTGTAGCATTGAGCCATGGCAGTTCAAGTGGTGTCAAACTGCATTCATTCAACAGTGTAGATACACCTAAGGAGACCAAATGGTCCACCTGCAGTAAATGATATTTTTTTCTTTCTAAAAATATTTGGAGAGAATTGGCGGAAGCTGCATGCCAAAGAACTGTATGCAATGCCAAAATGCACCATTGACTGAGGAGGAACATTCACTTCCTCTCTATTTTCCTCCCCAAAATTGGAACTCAGTCTCTTACCTCTCCCTTCCGCAGCGGGCTGTTGCCGGCGAGACCGATGAGGAGATTGTCTAGGGGACTGGCCTCGGCGCGGAGATCTCCTTGCCCCTTGACCTGAAGATCTCCCCGTGCCTCGGCCTGGAGATCTCCCTGAGCCTCGGCCTGGAGATCTCCCTGAGCCTCGACGTGAAGGTGTTGAAGGGGTTCTCCTAGAACTGGGCCCGGGAGATGTTGCACGCTGCATGGCTCCTAGAAGCAAGAGTAATAGTGGTCAGAGGGGGATTTCGGTGACATTGGCTGCTTAGGATCATATCTTTAAAAGCCAGTAGGATGTTGTAGCTTGAGCTTTGGGCTACGACTCTGGAGACTGGATTTCAAATACCCACTCAGCCATCTATTGGGCAAGTCACACTCTCTCAGCCCCAGAGGAAGGCAAAGGAAAAACAAATCCTTCCAAGAAAACCTCATGATAGGTCGCCATTGGGTTGCCTTAAGTTGGAAATGACTTGATGGCATGCAACAACACTTTCTTTGTACAATTTATCTAAATGTATCCCAACCCACTCATTATATATGTGTTCAGCCTCAGATAGAAATCTCATTTAAGTTCTGTGGGATTTATGTTAGGATTTTGTTAGAGAAAACTCCTAAAAACATATAGCAGAGAATCCAAATACAAACAGGATACTACAAGTCAAGCAATCAGCTCACAGCAAAGCAGAGTAGGAAGTGCTGTGTGATGTGGCTGTAAAGAATTTAGAGCTTAGGAATCTTTAAAATCTCGAAAGGTTTATTTACATTCAAAACAAGAACTGCATTTCGTAATAATAAGGAACTAGGTCTGAGCGACTAACACCCATCTCTTCTAAGGGTTCAAAGAGAGGGGGAAATGCCAGGGAGTGTTTTGATTGTGTTGTCCTGCATAGCAGGATAGGGTTGAACTGGATGGTCCTTGTGATCCTTTTCAACTCATTATTCCTATAATGATTCAAGATATAAATATGTGAGAGGAAGTCATAGGGAGGAAGGAGCAAGCTTGTTTTCTGCTGCCCTGGAGACTAGGACATGGAGCAATGGCTTCAAACTACAGGAAAGGAGATTCCACAAGAACTTCCTGACTGTGAGAGCTGTTCAGCAGTGGAACTCTCTGCCCCGGAGTGTGGTGGAGGCTCCTTCTTTGGAGGCTTTGAAACAGAGCCTGGATGGGTATCTGTTGGGGATGCTTTGAATGCAATTACTGCTTCTTGGCAGGGAATTGGACTGGATGGCCCATGAGGTCTCTTCCAACTATCATTCTATATGTGACATGGGGAAAAGGAAGCCCTCAGCCTATTCTAAGCTAACTAACTTGTTCCTCATTGAGGACTTGAAACTTGGGCACTATGGGGTTGAATTCCAACAATTCAATCATAGACTCACTGAACTGAAAGAGACCACAAGGGCCATCCAGCCAAACCCCCTGCCATCAAGGAAAATGCATTCAAAGCATTTCAGACAGATTACTATCCAGTCCTTGATTAAAAACCTCCAAAGGAGAGAAGATAAGCATATTACTGCCTGTTTGTTCCATTTACATTCAGGGAAGGTCAAGAGCTTGAACACTGTTTCCATCATAAATATCTCAGTGTCACTTTAGATCGAACACTAACATATAGGAAACACTGTATGAACACCAAGCACAAAGTAGCTGCAAGCAATAACATCCTGCGAAAACTTACTGGCAGCACATGGGGTGCAGACCCAAAATTAATAAGAACATCAGCCCTGGCCTTGTCTTACTCAACTTCTGAGCATGCCTGCCCTGTTTGGCACAAGTCTGCCCACGCGTAGCAGGTGAATCTAGCATTGAACGAAACATGCAAAATAATCACAGAATGTCTTAAACCTACACCTGTTGGTAAACTCTACAAGCTAGCTGGCACTGCCACTCCCCCTACCCCAGTGTGCGACAGGCAGTTACTGCTAACTGTGATAGAAATAAGGTTGAACACTGCGAAAGCCACACTCTGCATAGCTATCATCCTCTTCCCAGTAGACTCAAATCAAGGGAAAGCATCATAAGAACCACCACTCCTCTTAATGAGCCCCCATCAACAGCAAGAGTATCCTTTAGGCAGCTAAACCAGGAAATCCAAATGAATGGCCCCCCACGAGGGTCTTCATCCAGGGGTAAACCAAGAATGGGCAACGTGGAAGTCCCTGAACAGATTCAGAAGTGGAGTGGGCAGATAAAAAGACAACCTGGTAAAATGGAGAACAAACAACTCCACATTTGTATTCTTTCCCACAATGCCCTGCCTCATGCGCAGAGGAAGAATTGTTTGAGGCTACAGACAATGCGGTCGCTGTTGCCCATTTTTGGTCAAAAGATATTTAGCCACTTGTGCTCCTTCTACTTTTAATAGTTTCATACTATTTTATGCAATGCTTTTGATACGAAATAAATAAATAGATCGGGGAAATCCAATTCAAGGTAAATGCATACAGGACTACAGTCTTGGCCAGTTAATACATGCATACAAATAGACTGCAGTTCCATATTGTTGTGTATGTTATTTCCAACTTACTGCGATGCAAAGGCAAACTCATCATAGGGTTCGTGGCAAACTTTGCTCAGAGCGAGCTTATCATTGCTTCCCTTAGAGGCTGAAAGAGAGGGACTTGCTCAGGCTTACCCAACCCTGGGCTCCCATGGCTGAGGAGAAAGACTTTGAGAGAAGTAGACTACATTATGGGCAGAACATCCCTTACCTTGGAATTTTAAAAGCCACCAAAATCCAAAAATGCCAGCATGGGTTGCTGACATGGTGATTTTTTCAGACCTTTGCTTGCTAGCTAGCTTTTTGAATTAAATGTCATTACGTTTTCAAAAAATGCCATTTAAATCCAACACATTAAATTTTAAAAGAACATCATAAGCACTTAAATAGAAAACAAAACATTCAAATCCAAAGATATTCCCTTCCCATAACTTTCCCCTCAGCCTTGCAAACAAAAACTCTTGCTTTCAGATGGTTCAGTGAACACAGACTTTTTTTCATGGACAAAATTATTACAATTAGTATACAAAATTATTATTTTACGGGTACATGTCTATGGTATATATAAAATAATAATAATAATAATAATAATAATAATAATAATAATAATGTCGCGCAGACAGACTATAAGCAGAGGCATAACACCGTTGCTCAGATGATTCATTGGAACCTGTGCCACAAATACCATCTGCCTGCAACAAAGAACTGGTGGGATCACAAGCCGGAAAAAGTTACAGAAGATGAACACGTCAAACTACTCTGGGACTTCCTAATTAAGACAGAGTTTTGGAGCACAATACTCCTGACCTCACAATCGTGTTAAAAAACAGTGTGGATCATCGATGTTGCAATCCCAAGTGACAGCAGGATTGAAGAGAAACAACTGGAGAAGCTGACACAATATGAGGATTTAAAGATTGAACTGCAAAGACTCTGACACAAGCCAGTCAAGATAGTCCCAGTGGTGATCGACACACTGGGTGCAGTGCCTAATGATCTTGGCCTGCATTTAAACACAATTCGCGCTGATAAGATTACCATCTGCCAGCTGCAAAAGGCCACCCTACTGGGATCTGCACGCATTATTTGCAGATACATCACAAAGTCCTAGACACTTGGGAAGTGTCCGACGTGTGATCTGCTGTGGACTCATCTTGTTGTGTTTCTAATAACAACAACAACAACAACAACAACAATAAACATCGAAAAAATCACGATCTGTCAACTGCAAAAGGCCACCTTACTTGGATCTGTGCGCATCATTCGAAAATACATCACACAGTCCTAGACGCTTGGGAAGTGTTCGACTTGTGATTTTGTGATACGAAATCCAGCATATAGATCTCGTTTGCTGTGACATACTCTGCTTTTGTGTCAATATTATTTATTATTTATTTATTTTGAACTTTTATTATACCGGTCTTCTCGACCTCCGCAGAGGGACTCAGTCCGGTTCACAACAAAAGATTCATAAACAGTAATTTAAAACATCACATCCCATGATACACTAACACATTAAAATACAGTCATATAATTACATAAGGCCAAGTCGTCAGAATGAAATCACAATTCATCGCCATCCGTCCGTGTGGTCAGGAGTTATTGACTCACTCATCAAATGCTAAATTCCAGAGCCAAGTTTTCACCAGTTTTCTAAAAGTCAGGAGAGAAGGGGCAGTTCTAATCTCCAGTGGGAGAGTTCCAGAGCCGAGGGGCCACCACTGAGAAGGCCCTGTCCCTCGTCCCCACCAGACGCGATTGCGAGGGTGGTGGGACCGAGAGCAGGGCCCCTCCAGAAGATCTTAACAACCTTGATGGTTCATAGGGGAGAATCCGTTCGGACAGGTAAACTGGGCCGGAGTCATTTAGTAGTCGTCTAATAATAATAATAATAATAATAATAATAATAAAGGTAAAGATTAAGTCCAGTCATGCCCCACTCTGGGGGGTGGTGCTCATCTCCATTTCTAAGCCAAAGAGCCAGCATTGTCCGTAGACACCTCCTAGGTGATGTGGCCAGCATGATTGCATGGAGCGCCATTATAATAAAATGTATACCCCACCACCATCTCCCCAAGGGGACTCAGGGTGGCTAACACAGGGCCAAGCCCAATAATTACAATAATGCAAAGTAAAATACATCCAACAAATAATAACATCAAATAAAATGCAAACAATAACAAAATACACAATAGGGTAAACACAGGATATGAAATAAAAATGAGTTTCATGTCTGGATACAGGTCTCATCTCCAAGATATGTCATACAAATACATACATAATTGGGTGTGTGTGTGTACACACATACATACACACACATATTGTCTTTCTTTACTTCTAAATATAATAATAATATAACACTACTTTATTTATATTCCGCCCTATCACCCCGAGGAGACTCCAACAAAGAAAAAAGGCAAACATTCCATCCCCCATAGCGTTTTGAAGCATGGCATTTAAAAGTGGTTTCAAACTGTGTTAATTCTACAGTGCAGATGCACCCTGGGCGGGCACCTGTGACGTCAGGGCGCACTCCCCTAAATTGGACGTTCTCACCTCCTGCGGCGACTCAGGAACAACAACAACCCAGAATTCACACCAGCTCTGCTTCCTCTTCCTCCAGTTCCCTCTCTTTGAATTTGCGCGCCAGGTCACAAATCCCGCCCCCTTCCTGGAACGCCAGCCAATCCGCTCCGCGAACGACGCCTTTCGAATCTTGGCCGGAGGGAGAGGGGGAGCCCGAGAAGCACAAGCAACAATCTGACCAATGGGAATTAGAACTTGGGTCCACTTAGTTGCGTCATAGAATTTCCCCGAGTCTTGATGGCGATTGGCTGCGGTTGGTGTGACAGCGATGAGTGACGGGGGAAAGAGCCAATGGTAACTAAAGGAGGGCGGGCCAAAGAAAGATCCTGTCTGCTGTTGAATGAATGCAGTTTGGAATGCTATGGGATCTTAGGAGTTGTAGCTTCACAAGGTCTTTAGCCCTCCTAGATCCCAGAGCATTGAGCCATGGCGGTACAAGTGGTGTCAGAATGCATTAATTCTTGGACAGCAGTGGCTCCCAAAGTGACCCATTTAAGGTGGAATCAGTTGTCAAACAGGGATGTGTTATTGCCCCAACTTTATTTTCCATCTTCATCTCTTGTGCAGGTACAGCTGTACCAGGAGCTCCAATTTTGTTTGCTTTGCATTGAATGTTTGTTGTAGTCCTAAGTTTCAGGGACTCTGCAGATAGGTGGCTTCTTTTGGCTGCAATCATAGGGCAAGCCACCTGTCAATTATAGTTAGGTTCCTGGTCCTGCCCCCTTTGGGTTTTTTGGAGGGAATAAATGTTTTAAATAAATAAATCATGTGGCATGTGGAGCTTGATGAATCCAAGGCTGGAGTTAAAATTGCTGGAAGAAATATTAACCTTAGATATGCAGATGACACCACATTGATGGCCAAAATCGAGGAGGAGCCGAGGAGCCTTCTAATCAAGGTGAAAGAAGAAAGTGCAAAAGCTGGGTTGCAGCTAAACATAAAAAAACCAAGATTATGGCAACAAGAATGATTGACAACTGGGAAATAGAGGGAGAAAACGTGGAGGCCGTGACAAACTTTGTATTTCTAGGCGCAAAGATGACTGCAGATGCAGACTGTGGCCAGGAAATCAGAAGACGCTTTCTTCTTGGGAGGAGAGCAATGTCCAGTCTCGATAAAATCGTAAAGAGTAGAGACATCAGACTGGCAACAAAGATCCGCCTAGTCAAAGCCATGGTATTCCCTGTAGTCACCTACGGATGTGAGAGCTGGACCTTAGGGAAGGCTGAGCGAAGGAAGATCGATGCTTTTGAGCTGTGGTGTTGGAGGAAAGTGCTGAGAGTGCCTTGGACTGCGAGAAGATCCAACCAGTCCATCCTCCAGGAAATAAAGCCCGACTGCTCACTGGAGGGAAATATACTAGAGACAAAGTTGAAGTACTTTGGCCACATCATGAGGAGACAGGAAAGCCTAGAGAAGACAATTATGCTGGGGAAAGTGGAAGGCAAAAGGAAGAGGGGCCGACCAAGGGCAAGATGGATGGATGGCATCCTTGAAGTGACTGGACTTGACCTTGAAGGAGCTGGGGGTGGTGACGGCCGACAGGGAGCTCTGGCGTGGGCTGGTCCATGAGGTCACGAAGAGTCGGAGACGACTGAACGAATGAACAACAACAAGGACCCTTTTTGGTTCAGTCTACACAGAGAAGCTTTCCATGCAGGACATAATACCAAGAGCTCCTGTAGAAAGCTTCGTCTTCTACAGCTTGGCTGGAAGATATTTATTTATTTATTTACTTACTTACTTACTTTATTTGTATACCGCTCTTCTCAGCCCTTAGGCGACTCAGAGCGGTTTACAACCATTTAGGTATACACAATACAAAATCATTAAGCATTTAAAAGCAATAGCATCACAAATCATTAAACATCAATATCAATACATCACTACATCAATATAACAAATCCATCAGGTCTCATCAATGAAATCAGAATCCAAACTCGTTATCCGATATTCCGTGTTCCGATAGTCAGTCAATCAGTCACACTGCTTAGTCGAATGCCTGTTCAAACAGCCAGGTCTTTACTTTCGTCCGGAATACCAGCAAGGAGGGGGTCGATCAAATGTCTGCAGGAAGGGCGTTCCACAGCCGAGGGGCCACTGAGAAGGCCCTGTCTCTCGTCCCCGCCAGGCGTGCTTGTGAAGCCGGCGGGATCGAGAGCAGGGCCTCCCCAGACGATCTTAATGTCCTAACTGGTTCATAGGAGGAGACGCGTTCGGACAGGTAGGTCGGGCCAGAACCGTTTAGGGCTTTAAAGATATACAGCCTTCCAGCTCCTTTGCTGAGGGACTTCAGCCAGCCATCACGGAAACCTGAATTCTTTTCCCCTGGAAATCTACAAAGCTCTGCTTGGTAAGGGTCTCTCGCGGAAGCCAGAAGCAGTTGGTACCGGGTGTAGGGGCTCCACGCCAACAGAGGCAAAGACAGACTGCCCAGATTAGAAGTTAAGGATTTCCCCATTAGTTAAAATACCAGTCATGAAGATAGTGCCTGTTCCCTGTGGACAAGATTGAAAGAGCCAATAGACTGTTAAGAAAGCTTTAAAGTACCTGTTTGTTTTCATCAATAAAGAACTTTGTTGGACTTACTTTAAGCCTCTACAGAACTTTGTTTGTGGGGAGTTCCAAGGGCCTTTAATCTGAGGCAGCCCTGGCGTCCCGTTGGGCACACAGAATTTATGCCCTGTCTACAGTCTTATGCACAGGCCCAGCGTGCGACAGCACAGCTATGGTACTTCATCTACATTGGCTGTCTTCAGAAAGAACTTGAAGACCTGGCTTTTCCGATGCGCTTTCCCAGATTAGGAAATCTCCATTACCAAGTCCCATAAGCACTTTATCAGAACCAATGATTGCTGCACATCGCACATCGCACTTGCCCTGGAAGCCCTATATACACCTCCTGTCACATCTAATCTTGTACCCATTGCTCTGGCCCGGCCCAGTTTTATTGTGTTTAGTGTATTGTGCCTGTTGTTTATTTTGCTTTATTCTGTTTTTAATTGTTTGATTTGCTTAGATTGTATTGTTGTGTTGTGTGTTGAGGCCTCGGCCTGTGTAAGCCGCATCGAATCCTTCGGGAGATGCTAGCGGGGTACAAATAAAGTATAATAATAATAATAATAATAATAATAATAATAATAATAATAATAATCTTGTTGAAGGGAAGCTTCCCACCGGAGTGGAAATCCTCTATTGGACAGATGGCAAGCTATTTAACCTCAGCAGACTGAAAGCCAAAACCAAGGTTACAACAACATCTGTTATAGAACTCCAGTATACTGATGACGTCATCTGTGCACATTCAGAAGAAGGCCTACAAGCCTTCGCAGAACCATACGAGAAGCTCAGCATGTCATTGAACATTGAGAAAACTAAAGTGCTCTTCCAGCAGTCACCAGCCAATCCCTCTCCAATGCCAGAAATACAGCTTAATGGTGTAACATTAGAAAATGTTGACCATTTCCGCTCCCTTGGCAGCCACCTCTCCACAAGTCAACATTGACACTGAAATTCAACACCGCCTGAGCTCTGCGAGTGCAGCATTTTTCCGAATGAAGCAGAGAGTGTTTGAGGACCGGGACATCCGTAGGGATACCAAGGTGCTTGTTTATCAAGCTATTGTCCTCCCAACCCTGCTATATGCCTGCGAAACGTGGACTGTCTACAGACATCACATGCAACTCCTAGGACGATTCCATCAGCGCTGCCTCCGAAAAATCTCTTGGGAAGACAAGCAGACAAATGTCAGTGTGCTGGAAGAAGCAAAGACCACCAGCATTGAAGCGATGGTCCTCCGCCATCAACTCCACTGGACCGGCCACGTTGTCCGGATGCCCGACCACCGTCTCCCAAAGCAGTTGCTCTACTCCAAACTCAAGAACGGAAAACGGAATGTTGGAGGACAGGAAAAGAGATTTAAAGATGGGCTCAAAGCCAACCTTAAAAACTCTGGCATAGACACTGAGAACTGGGAAGCCCTGGCCCTTGACCGCTCCAGCTGGAGGTCAGCTGTGACCAGCAGTGCTGCAGAATTTGAAGAGGCAAAATGGAGGGCGAAAGAAACGTGCCAAGAGGAAGGCACGTCAAGCCAACCCCAACCGGACCGCCTTCCACCTGGAAATCGATGCCCTCACTGCGGGAGAACATGCAGATCACAAATAGGGCTCCACAGTCACCTATGGACCCACCGCCAGTACACCGATCTCGGAAGACTATCCAGTGATTCCGGCCATGAAAGCCTTCGACAATACATTAGACAAATTTATTCATTGCATTAGGCGTGAATCCAATATTTTTCTCAATCAAAACAAAAGGTTTGTGCTTGTATTTGAAATGTTTTTTCTTTATTTCCAAAGTTACTACCTTATAAAAAACATTCAGGCAATAGACTAAAGAATGAAGAACTTTGTGGGTTCATAATGCTTAGAGACAGAGTTCTGAGCGTTCCTTAGCATTGTTGGAATTCAACTCCACACTGTCCAAGTCTCAAGTCCTCAACGAGGAACAGTTTAGTTAGCTTAGTATAGACTAAGTGTTTCCCTTCCCCCATGACTCCTGAATGACAGTTGGGAATGTAGCTATTTCTTCTCTCCTTTCCCTTTCAGCTCTCATTGTGATTAGTTGTTTAAAATAGATATTTTTCTACTGCAAGCATTTTTGAACTTGACTTCTGTTTTCTTACACTTTAGTAAGAAGAGTATGTGCTGTGTGCTTTGAGATCTCTCTCTGCTTGTGTGTCAGGAGAGATATTGTGATTGAGTATTCCCCTCTCTTGAAACCTTAGAAGAGATGGGTGTTAGAGTAGCTCAGACCCAATTATTTACCATGAAGAAATGTAGTTAGTTGTTTACTATCTATATAAATAAAAATGTAATGTTAGTTCGTGCTACCATCAGAACTCAAACACCAGTGGGGGAATTGACACCAAATTTGGACACAAGACACCTAACAGTCCAATTTATGTCCTCCACTAAAAAAAATGATTTTGTCATTTGGGAATTGTTGTTGTGGGATTTATAGTTTACCTACAATCAAAGAGCATTCTGAACTCCACCAGTGATGGAACTGGGCCAAACTTAGCACACAGGGCTCCCATGACCAACAGAAAAAACTGGAAAGGTTTGGTGGACACTGACCTTGAGTTTGGGAATTATAGTTCACCCACATCTAGAGAGCACTGTGGACTCAAACAATGATGGATCTGGACCAAACTTGGCACGAATATTCCATCTGCCCAAATATGAACACAGATGGAGTTCAAGGGAAATAGACCTTGACATTTGGGAGTTATAGTTACTGAGATTTATAGTTCACCTACAATCAAAGAGCATTCTGAACTCCACCAATGATGGAATTGAACCAAACATGGCATACAGGACTTCCATGACCAACAGAACACACTAGAAGGGTTTGGTGGGCATTAACCTTGAGTTTGGGAGTTGTAGTTCACCTACATCCAGAGAGCACTGTGGACTCAAACAATGATGGATCTGGACCAAACTTGACACAAAAATTCCATATGCCTAAATATGAACACAGATGGAGTTTGGAGGAAATAGACCTTGACATTTGGGATTTGTAGTTACTGGGATTTATAATTCACTACAATTGAAGAGCATTCTGAAACCCAGAAATGGGGCAAACTTCCCACACAGAATCCCCATGACCAACAGAAAATACTTAAGGCCATCCAGTCCAACTTTTTTCACCAGGGCAAGAAAATGTAATCAGAGCCCTCCTGACAAAGAGCCATCCAGTCATAGATATAGATAGATAGTCATGATTCCTACACACACAGAGAGAGATATAGTATCATAGATTTGAAAGAGAACCTTAAAGAAGGACAATGATATGTTGCATATTCCAGAGTGGGCAAACCAGACACTCTCCACATCAACACTGACAAAGAAACAACAAGAAATACTGTTTACTCACAAGCATAAAGGAATTACATATATTAGAAGCCAACACTTTCTCATTACTTTATTTTCCAGATCACCAGACTGGGCCACAGCAACGCGTGGCAGGGGACAGCTAGTTGTAAATAAACCTTTTATCATTTTTTAAGATTAGACTCTGCATGTTTACCTCCTAAGCTCTGAATTCTTTACAGCCACATCACACGACACTTCACACTCTGCTTGCTAATGAGCTGAATGCTCAACTTTTAGTATCCTGTTTGATTTTTGGATGCTCCGCTATATTTAGGGTAGTTTTCCCTAACAACCATGGCCTATGCAGGTAAAGGCTGATAGGAGATGCAGTCCAGCAACATCCACAGAGCTACTGGGTTTTCATCCCTTTTCTAAGAGCCTCTATTGTCTATCCCTGGTATGGATTTTCTGGTGCCTAGAAAGGTTTGAGGAAGTGGAGAATGTTTTCTTGCACTCCGGGCACTTGTATGGCTTCTCTCCAGTGTGCGTCCGCATGTGCTTTTTGAGCCCTTGGCTCCACTGGAAACTTTGGCCACACTCAGAACATACATAGGGCTTCTCCCCTGTGTGCGACCTTTCATGCTTAGCGAGTTGTGATCTTTGAATGAAGCCGTTGCCGCAGTACGAACACTGATACGGTTTCTCGCCTGTGTGCGTCCGTGTGTGTGCGGTTAAATGAGAGCTCGAGATGAAGCACTTGCCGCAGTCGGGACACTGGTATGGCTTCTCCCCTGTGTGTGTCCGTTTGTGTGTAGTGAGGTGGGAGCTGTATGTGAAACACTTGCCGCACTCGGAGCACTGATACGGCTTCTCGCCCGTGTGGATACGCTCATGCTTTCGGAGCTGGCAGCTAGAAATGAAGCTCTTTCCACACTCTACGCAGACGTACGGTTTCTCCCCTGTGTGGGTCCTCATGTGCGTAATAAGGTCCGATTTCTGGTTGAAGCTTTTGCTGCAGACGGCACATTTGTGGGGTCTTTCCCCAGTGTGGGTCCATTTGTGTATAACGAGGTGCCGAGTCTGGCTAAAGCTCTCTCCACACTCGGCACACTTGTACGGCTTCTCTCCTTTGTGGATTCCTTCATGAATCACCAATTGCGGTCTGTACCTGAAACTCTGCCCACAATCAGAGCATTTGTACGGTTTCTCTCCCGTGTGCACTCTCCGGTGCCTCAGGAGGTTGCAGCGTGTGCCGAAGCTTTTGCCACACTCCGAGCATTTATATGGCGTCTCTCCAGTGTGGGTCCTTTCATGGATGAGGCGGCCGATTTTATCGCTGAAGGTTTTGCCGCAGGTGGAGCACTTATATGGCTTCTCACCAGTATGGAATCGCTCGTGGATTATAAGCGACTCTTTCCGGGCGAAGCTCTTTCCGCAAGCAGAGCATTTGTGGGGTTTCTCTCCTGTGTGGGTTCTTTCATGGATAACCAGGTGGGCCCGGCAGTCGGATACCTTTCCACAATACTGGCATTTGTGAGGCTTATCCTTCAGCGGCATTTTCTGCTTCTTAAGCAACGGGTCACAGCTGGCCTTTTTCCATAAACTGCCGTACATACCTTCTTCCAAGCCAGCTGCCTTCCCAAGGATATACGACGGCTGGATGTCGCATCCTAGGACAAAAAGCAAATGTAATATGAATGGGAGAAGAGCCATCCTGGCTCAGACAAAAGCCCTATCTAGCACTTCTCTTCTCTCAGCCTGCATCTTATTGGAAATAGAAACATTCTACAAGCCTCCTATATTAGCTATTTGTTATGTATATAATTGTGATTGCTTACTATATATGATTTAGTATGCAGTTTTCCCTTAACTCTATGTTGTTTGAGATTGTGGGAGTGACTGCAGACCATGTGACCAAATCTGGGACTATTCAGAACTGAGACTCCCAATTTAGAAATCAGTTAGCATCAGAAGCAGTACAGTACAGTTTAGAAGTCAGTCAGTACAGTATGCAGTTGGTAGTGTCCGTATGCTGCAGTGTATAGTCAGTCTGTGTTGAGTCAACGTTCAGTAATGTATTAGACTGAAGAGAGTGTTAATATGCAACAGAGAAGAGACTAAAACAGCATGCTTTAGAGAACTTACTGTTTAACTCTCAGCCAATAAGAAATATACCTGTATGCTGAATACATGAAGTTTGTAAGTAAATCAATTAGGTGTCGTTGAAGGCTTTCATGACTGGAATCACTGGGTTGCTGTGAGTTATCCGGGCTGTATGGCCATATTCCAGAAGATGGAACAGCACGGGAAACTCACAGCAACCCGCTAAATCAACTATGTTACTTTTAACGAAGACTACCTATTTTTGGTCTCTTGAGAGCATGATTTGAAAACCAATATATTTTATGGGAGAGAAGATATTTTATGGGCAACTGACATAACACTTCTGAAGATCTGCTATATATTTTGCGCATTGGCATATCTTTGTTCCTAACAGTTCAGAAGATAACCAGGTATATCAGTCTAACAACAGAGAAACCTAATTTGCCATGCATGATTACTATTGGATATTTATCACTAAGGAGAAGATTCACTCAAATGAGTATTTAACTCTTCTTAGGAAGATCATACTTTACAAAAGCATTATACCAAATAATATGAATGCCAATTAATCCCCAAAAGGGCCATGCTTCCAAAAGGCTATGGAGATTCCTGGTTTTCCAAAAGGTTGTGGTCTCTCAAAGGTCATGCCTTCCCAATACATCTATTATACACTGTAGTTTGACATCACTTTCACTACCATGGCTCAATGCTATAGAACCATGGGAGTTCTAGTTTTATCTTCTTTGACAAAGATGGCTGATGCCCCAACAAACTACAAGTCGCATTGCGTCATGGAAGTGTCAAACTGCATTAATTCTACACTGATCTACTAGCTGTCTAAGGGACAGAAGGATAAAAGAGCCATGCCAACATCAAGTTCATATCAGATGGGATCTAGTGCCTTTCAGGTATTTAGATCCAGATCAAATCTAGTACTCAGTAAATGTCATCATTGAAGATCTAAGACTGGAAGGTGTGTTCCACATGAGTTAGATAAAGGGTTCAATCTGTGATTGTAACCCAAATTTTGGGCTTCCTCACCATCACCATCCATGGGAAGCTCGATCTTCACAATGTCTGAGGGATTCAGCTCTGACTTGGGAGAATCAGCACAGAAGCCATTCCAATCCTCTGGGATCTGAAGCAGAAGTAGGAACAACATGCCAGACATTTTAAAATAATCTGTGCAAGCATGCGTCCACATAGTCATACATAAACAGTAACAAGGCCACATTTGCAGGCTTTTTGTTGTTGTTGTTGTGTCAGGAGAGACTTGAGAATCTGCAAGTCACTTCTGGTGTGAGAGAATTGGCCGTCTGCAAGGATGTTGCCCAGGGGACGCCCGGATGATTTGATGTTTTATCATCCTTATGGGAGGCTTCTCTCATGTCCCCGCATGAGAAGCTAGAGCTGGTAGAGGGAGCTCATCCGCCTCTCCCCGGATTCGAACCTGCGACCTGTCGGTCTTCAGTCCTGCTGGCACAGGGGTTTAACCCACTGCGCCACCGGGGGCTCCATTTGCAGGCTAAGCATGCATTCCACGAGACCCATTTTTGTGGTCCTCAAATGCATCCAAGGGATCAAAACATAGGAAGCACAAAGAGCATTTTTGATATATTTTAGGTCAAAAATCAGAAGTGACATCTCTACAACCATAAGTAATCAAAGGGAGCATAATATGTGGCAAAAAATGCTCTAATGCCCTGCAAAAGGGCATTGGAAACATTTGGGAGCAATTTTGTGTGTGTGTGTGTTTGTGTGGAAGGGGTGTAGCCCTCCCAACAGTCTCCTAAGGAGACAATGTAAACCCCGAACCTCCCCAAAATCATCCCTTTGATCAAGCCATTTATCCAATTAAAATTGTGTGTGTGTGTGTATGTGTATATACACCTCCCCACCACCATCACCTTTCATCTTTCAGATATTCTGCCCTCCACATTTGCTGGGTTTAGGAGCATAGGAATCCAATGAAACTAGGGGGGAAATGCAAATAAAAAACCAGAGGACCTCTTTCCTCCAGGATAATTCTGTGGTCAAAATAATAATAATATTTATATAATAAAACTTTATTTATATTCTGCTCTATCTCCCCAAAGGGATTCAGGATGGATTCCAAACACAAAAGGCAAACATTCAATGCCCAAATACAACAACAATACATCCATACTAACAAAATGTATACAACCCAACATATAAATACAAATTATAACTTAACAAACTAAAATTAAATAAAAAGCACAGCCTCTTATAACTGACATAAGACAAAACATCAAATGGAAAATAAGCTGGAGGCTGACCACAGAAAAATGCTGGAGGACCAACAAGTGTTCTTTCTATGAATCCTCTAGTGCAGCTCTATGGCCAGGGAAGAAAGAGCCTCACAAAAGTGAAAAATCCATGAATATAAAGAAAAACTGAAAACTCTATTTTTTTTTCAGTCTGAGAGAAAACTTTTCTTGATATTTGTAGGTTCTCCAGCATAATACTATAGTAAACTTCCCACGGAAGTATTATTTTCAGCAGAGTAGCAGCAGAGGCTATAATAAATACAATAATCTATGTTTGCTAATTCAATCAATGAATGTTTAACCTTCAAATGTGCAGGACGACTGTACCTTGGCACTTTGGACTATTGTGGATTTGATTATTTGCGTCATTCATCAAAATGTTATTTCTAGGACCTGCAGCCCTAAGTTATGGTCAACCTTTGCTGGAACTGGACTACATAGTCACACGGGAGGACCTAGAGTTTCCTAGTGAGAACACCTCTCTCAGGCTCCTTCTACACAGCTGTATAAAATCCAGATTATCTGCTTTGAACTGGATTATATGTCAGTGTAGAGTCAGATAATCCAGTTCAACACAGATAATGTGGATTATCTGCTTTGATAATCTGGATTGTATGGCAGTATAGAAGGGGCCTCAGGCTGGATCTACACTGCCGTATAATGCAGTTTCAGAATGCAGATTAACTCTATTGAACCGGGTCCTATGGAAGTGTAGACTCCTATAAACCAAGTCAATGCAGTTAATCTGCAATCTGAAACTGCCTTAGGTAGGTAAAGGTTTTCCTCTGACATTAAGTCCACTCGTGTCCGACTCTGGGGCTTGGTGCTCATCTCTATTTCTAAACTGAAGAGCCGGTGTTGTCCGTAGACATCTCCAAGGTCATGTGGCCGGCATGACTACATGGAGCACAGTTACTTTTCCGCCGGAGCGGTACCTATTGATCTCACATTTACATGTTTTCGAACTACTAGGTTGGTAGAGGCTGGGGCTAACAGTGGGAGCTCATGCTGCTCCTCGGATTCGAACCTGCAACCTTTCTATCAGCAAGCTCAGCAGATCAGCGGTTTAACCCGCTGCATCACCTTATATGGCAGTATAGACCCAGCCTCCAAATCTTCAGGTTCTCCAGTGCAATTCTATGATCCACTTCCAATGGAAGTTAGACAAAAAGTTGTGCTCTCTCAGGAAAAAAAAATGATAGTGTTTTAGTGGCATTTTTTTTTTACTTTCACTGAGGTCCTGTACCCCTAATTCCAGCAAATGAGGAGGGATGACAATGTTAAAATCCATCGATCCACCCAAAGCTCTGGATGAGAATGCATGCCCTGACCTTCTCTTCCACTCTCTCTGTTCCTTGGGGCCTCCAAAGAAAATCCTCCGCAAGAGCCACTGCCTGGCTGCCACTCTCGGGGCCTCGCTCCCTGACCCAGCACTGCATCTCCAAGGGCAGGATCATGAGGAACTGCTCCAGGATCACCAGCTCCAGGATCCGCTCCTTGGTGTACTTTTCTGGATCCAGCCATTGGCGGCAAAGTTTCCCAAGTTGGCAGAAAGCTTTCCGGGGCCCATCGGCCTCCTGGTAGCAGAATTGGCGGAAACGCTGGCACCGCATTTCCATATCGAGAGCGTCTATGTTTGGAAGCTCTTCCTTCACTTCCACCGACAAGTCCAGACCCTTGTTGTCCTCAATAGCTTCATGGTCACCAAAGTCCAGGGCAGTTTCAGCCATGGGTTTTGCACCAGGGAGATGCCAGTTGGAGTCAGCAACTCCATGCATTTGCCTCCTATTCTCTTCCAGCCCAAGTTGAGGAGGCTGGGAGTTTCTCCATCTCAAACATGATGGTGATGTATCCCTTGTCTTCTGGAATTCCTTCCCTTCATCTTCCCAAAACTGTGGCGACTTCTCTTCTGGTTCCTCCTTAATCTGAGGCGTGGCAACCTTGGTTAGAAACTCGCCAGTTGTTTCAACTTGGACAACATGGCCTTTTCCAGTTGCTGTCAATCGCTCCCCTGATTTGGGTCTTGGGGAGTCCCAATCCTCCATCTTCCTTCCTTTCAACAGCTTCTGAATGAAAAAAGAGGATTGAAATCATATATTAAGTAACTAGCTGTCCCCTGCC